GTGTGTGTGTGTGTGTGTGTGTGTGTGTGTGTGTGTGTGTGTGTGTGTGCCTGCCTGCATGTGTGTGTGTGTTGTTGGTAGGAAGAGCACAGGTATAAGGTGTCACTGTCGTTCCTGTGGCCATGGCCCCAGTGCAGTGGTAATTAATGTACAAGATGGCTGCTCCTATGGTGTTGATTCTTGCTCTACCACCCATGCCCCTCAGGCATGGCACTCAATAGAGTAGAAGAAATGAATGAGCTCAGAAACACTGTAAGCTCTAGAAGGAGGAGGAGGACTTTGAGAAAGAAGAGCTCATCTTCTCTGAGTTGGAGGCCACCCCTAGAGCCTTAGCTTTGAAGCCAGGCCTTCCAGAGATAATTTGGGCATATAAGTAGTTCAGTCAGAGCTAGTGCATCATGTCTCGGAGACCTGGGCTTGGGGTCTAGCAATGAGAAGCTTGTAGTCAGGCTAGGCACTACTGGGCTGCTGCAGGGCAGCTAGGAGTCTGTCCCTTTGCTAAGGACATTCATGGATCCAGTGACCAGAAGAGACCACAGGGGACAGGCCTGTGAAAACTCTCTGACTTCCGGGTGGGTCTGTGTTGGTACCCAGACCCAGAGGACAGCATGCTCTGTTCCCATAGCCTCTGTTGCCAACCAAGGTAACCAGCTGAGCCTTATCCACCCCATCCACCAACATTTGAAGTCAGCTCCCCCACCCCCCTTTTTTAGTTCCTGAAGTTTGGGCTGACCGTTATACAATGGTTGCTGAAGCATGGGTGTGCTCTGACCCCAGGGGTTCTGATGGGTGCAGGTGAAGCTGCTGGGGCACCCTACTCAGAATCTCCAGATGTAAGGAGGCTCCAGGTGAAAGCGAGGGAAGCTCCTTACAAAGTGGAGAAAGAAAGATACCGTACTTAAGCTGCAGGGAGGTCTAGCCACTTGGAGCTTGGTGCTCAGCGGAAATAGAACACAAAGTGCTTAATGCTGGGGCGGTGGGACCTCGTGACTTCCAAGCTGAGTCTGGAGTGTCTGCTCTGCCAGCTGGCTCAGCCGGAATGAGGCACCTTTCCTGTCATCTCGGCTTGTTCCTATCCGAGGGAGTGTTTCCACGTAGCTATTTGTCTAGAGCCACAGATCTACAGGGACGGGTGTGGGTGGGGGGAGCCGAGGAGAACAGAGGATCCTGACGTATCAGTCCATTTCATTTAAGTAATCTTTCTAAACATGTATTTTGCATTTATATGTATATGCATGTGTGTGTGTGCCCGCAAGAATGTGGAGGTCAGAGGACAATTTACGGAAGTCAGTTCTTCTCCCTCTACCGTGTGCATCTCTGGGTTCAAACTCAGATGGTTGATGACAAGCACCTTTACATGCTGAGCCAACTAGCTGTCCCCCCCATCCATTTCATTTTCAAGTTAAGACAGTGTCACTTCCTAGAGCAGCCCAATCCAAGGGTCCTATTTTTAATGTACAATTTTTTAAATCCAATTAAATATAATTATGTTGCTTCCCTTCTCCCTTTCCTCCTCCCCAACTCCCTTCCCAATTTATAGTCTCTTCTTTATTGTTGCTACACACACACACACACACACACACACACACACACACACACACACACACGATCAAACAAGTAAATGCAACCTGTTGAGTAAGTCAGTGCTGTCTGCCTGAGGCCTGAACACTTGGTATTGGAAAACCAATCAGGGGCTCATTCCAGGGGAAGACTCAGTCCCCGTCTTTCAGGAGTGGTTAATTGAGTTCATCTAGGGGTCAGGCCCGCCCTGTGAGATTTCCCTCATCTAGGCTGGGATGTCAACTGCTGTTGGCATTGATCAGATGGTGTTCAAGCAGCCATGTGATTAAGACTTCGTGGGTCTATCTTCCCTGTCTGTGGTGATTTGAATGGAAATGGGCCTGCCCCATAGGCTCGTATGTTTGAATACTTGGACCCCAGTTGGTGGAAATATTTGGGAAGGACTAGGAGGTGTGTCTTTGTTGGAGGAGGTCTGTCACGGGGGTGTGGGCTTTGAGGTTTCAGAAGCCAGCTCCATTCCAGTGATCTCTCTGCCTCACGGTTGTTATCTCAACATGTAAGCTCTCAGCTACTGCTCTAGGGCCATGCCTGCCTGCTTCCTTGTTCCCCACCATGATGGCTGTGGACTCACCCTCTGAAACTGTGAGGCCCCAAATATACCTTTCCTTCTGTAAATTGTGTTGATCATGGTGTTTTATCACAGCAGTAGAAAAGTAACCAATACACCATCATAGCTAGAAAGCAGAGTCTCCCAGCAGATTTCCTGGTCCTCTGGCTCTCACAGTCTTTCTGCCTCCTCTTCGGTGATGTTTTGTGAGCCTTAGGTTCAGACGTTGTGGTGCAGCTGTATCATCTGGGACTGGTTACTCTAGTCAGGTGTTCTCTCCATCTTGACCAGTTGTGGCTTTTTGTAAAAGTCTCCTGCTGCAAAGAGAAGCTTCATGTAGTTGGTTGTTTCTACTCTTTAGTCTTTTGGCTCTTTTGGGGGGCCTACCATCCAGCTCCCAAATAAGTCATACACACACACACACACACACACACACACACACACACACACACACACACACACAGTGGGGGGGGGCTTATTTTTTCTTATGAATGATGCCTGGCCTTAGCTTGGCTTATTTCTTGCTAGCTTTTCTTAAATTATTCTGTCTACCTTCTGCCTCTGGGTTTTTATCTTTCTCTATTTCTGTATACCTTTCTTTCCTTCTTATCCCCCTATTCCGTGTCTGGCTGGGTGGCTGGCCCCTTCTTTTCTCACTCCTTCTTCTCTCTTCCCAGATTTCTCCTCATATTTATTCTCTCTGCCTACCAGACCCACCTGTTCTTTCTACTGCCTGGCTATTGAACGTTCAGCTCTTTATTAGACCAATCAGGTGTGTTAGACAGGCACAGTGACACAGCTTCACAAAGTTAAACAAATGCAACATAAAATAATACAACACATCTTTGCATCATTAAAAAACAATGTTCCACAGCAGAGACAACTGTCACACATCTTAAAATAATATTCCACAATAGCTTCACCAATGAGGAGTGAGAGCTATATTATCTGCAGATTTAAGGATAAGTATTTAGAGTGTAGTTACAAAAGCATATAGGTCTACGAGAGTGGTGGTAGGGTCTATTTTTGAGTAAGTACTCAGTCTGTTTCTCTCCCCTACTGTCTTCCCTGCCTTGCCCATTCTTTCTCCGATTCCTCACTTTGGTGCTGGTCAGGCCTTCTCCTCTCTCTGATCTTTGTGTCTAGCCTTCTATGTGTGCTGGGGAGGAAGATTGGGCAGTAGTCCTCCTGTGCTGCCCTCCGTGGGGTGCATGGTACAGAGGCTCTGGCTCCCATGTTCACTGGGTACGTCTCTAAGGTGCTGGAGATCCTGGTACCTCTTCATTTCTGAGGAAGAGGCATGCAGTTGGGTGGATCTGTCTCTGTCTCTCTCTGTTCCACTTCCTCTCTCTCTCACTGTGTGTGTCTGTCTGTCCAAAGGTCCTACAGCAGAGGGCTCTACTCTTCATTGAGTGAAACCCCAGCATCGGGGTCCTCGGGGCATTTGTCCTGCAGGTTGTCATCCTGGAGAACAAGGGCGGCTCCTTTCTGCAGCTCACTCTATCATGTTTTAACATCCACAAAGTGGGGATGGCCCTAAAATATTTATTTGTAAGACAGTACTGTGTCATAAGCTAATTACAAATAGTATCCTTTTCACAGTTGCAGATTAAATAATATTATACTTTCTCTTAATAGTATTATGTAAATTCTAATGGTTTCTTGATAGAAAATAAATTTGCGATGCTTTTTAAAAACCTGAAAATTCTTAAAATTTACAAAATCTTAAAAATGATTACAATTACAATTCTTCCCGTCTCCCCTCCCCCTCCTCAAGACAAGGTTTCTCTGTGTAGCCCTGGCTGTCCCAGAACTCGCTTTGAAGACCAAGTTGGCCTCAAACTCATAGAGATCTGTCTGTCTCTGCCTGCTGAGTACTGCGATTAAAGGTGTGCACCACCACACCTGGCCACTTCTGGTAATTCTAGTCACCCATATTAACCAATAAACTTTAAGACTCTCTTTTTCGGCTAGATGATTCCAACTGTACTTTCACATCGACTATTATTCCAAGTCATGTCCACTTAGAGCTTCAAGGTCCCGTGGAAGCCCTGGGGTGGTCCTGCTGTAGACACTGAGTAGATCAAATATGTTACAGAGCTCCCCATATTGCTCCATCAGTGTGAGGGCACCTTGGGGTCTTGATCTGTGCACAATTGCTCAAATGACAAGTGTAGCCCAAAGTCACAACTCCTTTTCTCCCCAGAAAGTCCAGATGCATCTCCACAGAGATCCTTCTGGAGGTTTCAAAACAGATGCTAAGTGTCCTGAGCACCCGAAGCGCATGACGTGCTTTGCCCGGCGAGGGTCGGCGTCCATGTCAGTGTGAGGAAAGCACTGAAGATGTTGGCAGATGTGCAAGAATGAGTAATGCAGGTTATGGAGCAGGAAGGTTCCGAGGGCTTGAGCAAACCAGGAACTTACCCGGGAGGGTGGAGGGAGGGGTAGCAGACCAGGACTGTGCCACCCGCCCTGTGCTGCTGTGTGTGGCTCTACACGCCTCCTCCCCGAGTGTCGTGTGAGCCCGCGACACGGAGCAGCCCTTCGGTGCACACAAAGAGCCAACTTCGTAAGATGTAGAAATGTCTTTCTGTCTTCCTTCCCTGAGCTGTGGGCTTCCTGGTCTGAGTGTTCTCTCAAGGCTGAACTACCTTACAGGAAGGAAAGAAGAAATGCGGTTTCCTTCAGGCACGCAGAACTTCAAACCACACAGCGGAATCTCTTCAGGTGTGATTTTCTAGGGACAAAAGCTATGGTAGAGGTTGGAGGTAAAGCTAGCCAGGACCAAACAGGTCTCGGCTTTCTGGGCTGGAGGCAGAGAGAGGGGATGCTTGGCTCTGAAGACAAATCACAGCCAGCTGATGAAGGACAGCTGCCTAAGGGATACGTTGTCTAGGGGAGACACAGCAGCGGTGTGGGGGGGTGGGGGGCTTCTCATATCATGGGCTTCGAGTGCCAGGCAGCTTAGGCATGAGGCTGTTTGTCTGAAATATATAGAGATTTCTCTTTGTGTGATACATCTTAATGCTCTGAGAAGAGGAAGGAATTAAGGCCTGGAGGGTGTGTGGAATCCTGTCCCACTGTAGCTGGGTCAGGGAGAGCTGAGAGGAGGCGGGAATCACTGGAGGTTAATGGAGAGCTCTTTTTAATAGAGTATCTTCTTACGCTGTTTTCTGTCCTTATAAACTCTGTCTGTGTGGTCCACACTGCCCTAGAGGACTCCTGGCAAGCCATATTTCTCTCACCATTTTAAAACTTCTCCCCCGCCCCCTCTTCTGAAGGTATGTCTCCCATGAAGAAAGGAAGAAGGGACTCCCTGGGCTGGGTTGACAGGGAGGGCTGGTCCTGAGGTGGTGGTATCGGCTTGATTGACAAGGAGGGCCAATCCTGAGGCAGTCCAGGCAAGTTCACAGGGAGGGATGATCCTCCTCTGCTGAGGTGGTTTAGGCTGGGCTGACAAGGAGGGCTGATCCTGAGATTGCCTAGGCTGGGGTAACAAGAAGAGCCAGTCCTGAGGTGGTCTAGAGCATGTGAGTTTGGAGCAGGCTGGCTTCACTCAGCTCTTACCCTGCTTCTGTGAATAGACCCAGCACACATGGTCTTGGTGGACTTTCCTAACTCTGAAGCTGATCTGTTCCTCAGTTGTCACATCCTGACAGAGGGTGTTTCGGGAGTTCAAAGGCAGATCTTTCATGGAGCCTGAATATTGACAGTCGTCCTCACAGGGTGTTTTGAGCATTCAGTAAGATCCATTATTTAGGTTGAATGAATCACTCATCCACCTTCCCAGGGCTGTGTCCTTTCTGCAGGCTCTGGCATCTGTCATCAGTGCTACAAGGAAGGATTGCTCCAGGAAGGTGATGATTCTGCCTGTGGCTTTGTGAGACAGAGCTTTCTTTAGAAACATTAACCTTAAGTTGTGAAACACTGTACTGGGGTTGAAGAATCGTCAATAATTCAGAAACAGCCACAAAGTGCTTTTGTTTGTTTTGAGGTAGACCTCAAACAATATGCGAAAGAATGAACCAGTGAGTGTGTGTCCATGTGTGCATGCCCACGTGTTCTCCTGGGTGTAATGTCTATAGTTTCCATCATCCCTCAAAAGACTTCATGATTTTGAATCTTAAGAATTAAGGGTTTCAGGACCAAGCTGTGCTATGGCCTGAGCCTTTCCTAGGCCCTTCAAAAGCCAGAGATTCTGGGCAGAAGAAGACCCTATTGAGGTGAAGTCAAGTTAGGGTCTGCTCCTACGCTGTCAGTGTGGAGGGCATGTTCTGTGACCTCCTGGGTTCATTATCATTGTTAGCAGAAGACTGCTACTCTCCGAGTTCCTGTGGGAATCACTTAGCTAATGTGTATGTGACAGCCAACACATTCCAATCAATCACGAGCTATTTCCATGCAAGTGATGTCAAGTGTTGACATGAAATATGTCACGTGAAGGACACAGGGTTGAATAAAAGGACACATCCAAACTCTGGTACAGGCACAAAACTAGAACAGTGGCCCTAACCTCAGCCAAGAGTAGATACCCTGCTACATGGTCTCTCACCAGCAAACAGTATTGCCCATCTCAGCCTGGCAATATAGTCCATTGCATCCTGCAATGACAGTTCTCCCAACTAGGATTCGCTACCCAGAATTATCGGAAACATGATCATTTCTGCTACTCACATACTCTAGCAAGCAGGGTCTATAGTTGAAGAACCTGATCTAAAGGCTCGGTATGGATGTGGGACCTCAGTTTACTCATGTGTTAGAGCAGCAATGAAGACCCATCAAGGGAAGAGAATGGATGTTCTGTCCTGGGCTGCACCATTCACCTGGCCAAGGGGCCATCAGTAGGAAGGCAGGCTTACCTTAATAAAGCCTGCTAAAGAGACAAGTGAAATAATTTTTCCTTCAAGAAGACACCATACTTGCTCTTCCCAGAATCTCGGCTCCTGGTGCAACAGCTTACAGAGCAGCAGCGAGGTAGCTTTGTAGATCTGCCTGCTTCTCTGAATTACTCAGAAAAGCATAGTTTTTTTCTTTTCATACTTTCTATGTTCTACACACACTTTCCCTAACACTTGGGCTTCCCCATCTTTCTTTAAAGTCCCCCTCACTGCCACGTAACTGCTTGTCCTCTGTGTGTCCTCCATGCCGGCTCAGAGGGAGCGACGTTTTCCCTTTTCTCCTCCATCACTTCCTCTGGGTAGCTGCTAAGACTCACAGCTTGCCTGCCCTGGGGTGCTTTTCTGTTAAACTCTACTAAAACTGTCTTCTAACTTCTGTTTGAGTCATTCTTAATTTCTTCTATTGATGAGTCTAAGATCTCTGAGAGAGGACCCCGATGTCCCCACTATCACAGGGACCGAGGGGACAACATCACAGGAAGTGGAAGGCAGTTCAGGACAGTCGCAGAAGAGGATGGAGACTTCAAAAACCCTGGGCACTTACACAGTGTAGACCGGAGGTAAAAGCCCTGGGCGCTTACTCAGTGTAGACCGGAGGTAAAAACCATGGGCGCTTACACAGTGTAGACCAGAGGTAGCCCAGGGGATCTGTGAGGATTCTTCCTCTCAGGATTAAGTAAAAACCTGGAGAAAATGTGACGGAAACAAGTGGCTGGTGGGTGACCAGGATGTGCACCATCGGCACAGTGGTCTGCTGCTTGCTCTAACTCAGCCTCCAGAGGACAGCTGAGGTAAACCTTGGGAGTCACCAGACAAGAAAAGAATACTTCACTCGACTTGTGTTTTGTATACCGGGAGGTGGGAAAATGTCTGACTCTTTTTTTTTCTTTTTAACCTGGTTAAACACAAGTAAGCCGTAAATGACCATTATGGTGAACGATCTCTTCCACAAGAGTAAAATGACAACTCAGTTTAACACAGTAAAAAAGGAAATCGATGGAGTGCTAATGGCCAACAAGAGTCTGCGGAGAGAGAGGTGGGAATGGGGTGGTCCTGTTCTCATCCTCACTGTAACTTCCACCAATGGCAGAAATGTAAATTTGGGGTCCATGGGTCACATCCGAAAGTGAGTCTGCCACACTAGTTGCCTAAAAGCAAAAGCCCATTTTCCAGGAGAAGGGGATATTTTTCATTCCTGTAGGGATGTCTCAGAAGTGTGAGCTGGCTACTTCCTGTCTTAACTTTGAAGGAAGTAGTGGCTGACCCATATAACCATCTCATAGTGGTTTTAATAAACAATCTATTTTTTTCCCCACACAATGGGAGCTGCTTACCTCTCCAAATTCCACTTCTAGAATCTTTGAGAAAACAGAACTTGGCCTTCGGTCCACTTGAGTGCCTCCAAATGTGAGAGGGTCTCTGAAGGCTCCCACCCGCCTCATCTGTCAGTGTCTTGGAAAAGTATGTTGTTACACTGATCTTTCTGGAATCCCAGAGGACACATGAAAGATGTGTTGAGATTCAAGGATTCATTGCAGTGAGAGCCAAGGAGTTTTCTTCTGCCATTTGCTTCTCTGGGGGATGTGAGTAGACTTGCCAGACTTCCAAGTTAGGACATCTGGACTCGGCCCCTGATTCTGTGGTTGGCTAGGATATATGGCCATTTCTTTTGTTTCTCATCTGTAAAATGGGAGCAAATGAAGCCTGTTACTTGCTGGGCACTCACAGTGGAAGAGGGTGGACATAGAGCTATTTCAGACTTTGAGTCCTAAGAAAAGGCCAGACAAGTCACCAAATAATCTGTGCCCTTGAAATAAAAGGTAAAAGGAAAATGTTTTGTGCTCAATGCTTCTGGAATGTGGACTTTCTTTGGATGGTTGTAGAAGTTAGAAGTGTGCAGCATTTATTTATTTAATTTTTTTTGACTTAAATGTTTATGTGATTTGCTTGCTCCGTCATGCCTGTCCCTGGACTGTCTGAACCTTAGGGATTTTGGTGCAGTGTCCCCTCTGTCCTCCGTGAAGAATGGGTGTCAAGTGCTTGCAAGATTGGAGTTTGAAGACTTCTTCTAGTAGCTGTCTCCAGAAGAGTCTCTTTCTCCACGTGCTGTGCGAATACCTTCCCTGTGGAGGAGAAGGAGTTCTCCCCCTCCTCATAAGAGCCCAATGGCAAACCAAACTATGATTCCACCAAAGGTCAACTCGGGGAAATAATGAGTCTTTTAGATTCTCCTACACGGCTTGGGTGAGGGGTTGCTGGGAGGGATGTGACGGACCTCAAAGCAGCCATACTGGAAAGTCTTCACATAGCTTGGGTGATGGCTTCCCTAGACCCACAGAGATGGAGCCCCTCTCAATTTTCCCCAGCCCATGTGCTCCAGCACCTCCAGAGACTCCCCAGGCCAAGGGCCCCGTTAGGGAGAATTGCGTAAAATGACTTGGGATAGGCAACTGGAATCTCAGGTGAGGGTCCAGTGACACTTGCCATTCTTTCCGCGGAGAGAATGTCATCAGCCCACAGGCCCACTCCCGATGGCCTCTTTAAAGTAGGCGCAGCTGATCTGATGCAGCCGGGTCAGTTTTCCCTGGAGGACCTCATTCTGCAATGCCATCCTTCCACACCCCCAGTGCGCAGGCCAGCGTGGGATAGCTGCTTTCTGATTAGTCTCTGAGCTCACATGGATCTCCAGAGCAGCAGGGGAGAGAAAAGTCCGAGGCCAGTTTGCTGTGTTGCTCCCTACAGAGCGCCCCTGACAAGTCAATTGACTCTTTGTTCTCAAGAGTCTTCCCCGTTGGCTTTCTGTGTGAGGTAGAATTAGGGCCTTTTCCTGTGAAGCTACCAGCCAAGGTTAAACTATTTCAGCAATTCTGTCCCTTTGCAGAGCCTGGCCTGCAGAATCCCCTTGGTTTCCGTCACTGTCAACAAGCCTTCTCCACCAGGCTTGTTGCAGAACACCTGAAATGCTTGCTCAAGCTGTTGAAAGCGGCTACATCAGTGTGCGCTCACCTTCCCCACGTGAAGGAAGTCAGAAGCCTCACAGATCTGTGTCTAGACCCCCTCTCATCCCCAGGGTTAACCTGTGGAAAGTGGCAGGGCTTAGGGGTGTCCTCAGAGGCCTTGCTGCAGAGCCAATGACCAGTCGGTATCTGAGAGGGCTGCATTCTGGTGAATGCAAAGCCTCAGGAGAGCCAAGGCGCAGTGGGGACCCGCCAAGGCGAGGACAGAAGGCGCCTCGGGGCAGGAGGGCGGGGCGCAGTGCATCTTTGGAAGCCTGTGTGAGTGTGCACGCCTGTAAGGTGTGCCCTTGTGTTCGCTTGAAGGAGGTGTACAAGCAGCACCAACACGCGTTGGCCGGGCCCTGGTAGCCCTTGCCTTCTCCTTCGCAGCCCTGAGCGCCGGGCGGCCCCTGCGCGGGCGCGGTGGCCGAGGGAGGTGGGGCCAAGGGAGGAGATCTGCGGGCGGGAGGGCGGAGAGGGCGGGAGGGGTGGATCCGGGAAGCTAGGGCTATTTGACAGCACCAGGGGCAGCCGCAGAGTTCGAGGAGCGCCGGCCGGAGCGCATCTGGAGGGGCCGTGCGGTCTCCACCAGCGGCCGCAGGACCGCGGAGCAGCTCTACCTTGCCCGCCCGCTCGCCGGCGCGCTCGCACAGCCTATCTCCGCCGCGTGCCAGGGCGCAGCGCGTGGAGCGCCTGCCTCGCTTGGTCCCCTCTAGCGTCACCATGCTGCCGCCGCAGCTGTGCTGGCTGCCGCTGCTCGCCGCGCTGCTCCCGCCTGTGCCTGCGCAGAAGTTCTCGGCGCTGACGGTAAGTCCCGAGTCCCCGCTTTTCCCCCTCGTTCCTCACCCGGAACCCATGCTCTCCTCTGGGACAAGGCTCCAGGAGCAGGTGGCCCGGTGAGCTCCAACAGGTGGGTCCGGGAGTGTCCCATGCCTTGCGTGTCCAGGGTCGACAGCTACTCGCATGTGAGGGACTGCGGGTCCTACCAGCCCAGGATAGAAGGGAGTTGGCCCTCGGGGATGTACGAAGTCCCCCAATTTGGGTGGGAATGGACGAGCATAGGAACAAGTATCTGGGCCAGCAATGTCCCGCAGCTGTCTCAGGACGACAATAACTGGGCACTCACCTTGCCAATGCCGACCCAGTCTGGGGTTAGGAAGTGGGAGGTTTTCAGCGTGGGCGCCACAAGGACCCACTGTTCCCCTCTTTTTTGGGGGAAAAGGGGCCGCAGCCCATGGGCTCCACTTGTGGCTGGACGTCGCAGAGACCCCCTTAATTGAGCCAAGGAAGAAGCAGATATGATATTGAATTAAAGACCATTTTCCTTTTGTTGAAGAACTCACAGAGGAGAAACGATCTGTGGCACAGGAGGCACAGAGGAGCGTCCCTGGTCTCGTGGGTCCTCTCCTCAGTGGCAGGATGCTGTGCGCGCCAGGGCGCGCTCCCGAGCGCGTGTGGCACTGAGGTTGACCGCTCTAAGTTTGTCTCTCTTAGTTGCACTACTGGCTACGCCAAGGCAAGAGGTGAGGTGCCAGAAGCCGAGCTGTGGATGGGGGCTGAGCCAGTCCACCTCGGGCCAGCACAACCGCGGCCACTCCGCCAGGCCGGTGTCGGCAGATCCCAGCGGGCAGTCCTTGTGTGGCCCGCGCGCTAGCGAGTCGATAATTAATGCAATCTGCAGAAACGAAAGCATTCCACTTAAATGTGTTTTTGAACAAGTGCTTGAGAAAACACTAAACATGGGGTGATCAGGCCCCCATGGAGAGGTGTGTTGCAGCGGCCAGTGCCCTGGGGAGGTGCTTATCCCTTTGGAAACCAGGGCTCGCCCAGGAGCTCAGGATCTTTACAAAAGCAAGCTGGCTAGCCTGTTGCTTTTTTTTTTCTTTCTCTCTCTTTCTCTGTTTTTCAGCAGCTTGAAGAGGGAAGATTGAGTGAGTTCATTGTTCATACCTAAAATTCTTCTGGAGCAGTCCGAGGGCCCTGCCTTGTGTCTCATGAGTGACTGATAGATTAGAACCATAGCTAGAAGCTGGAGGGAGTTTTCACCCACTCAATCTTGCCCTACCCCGAAAGAAGCCCAAAGGATTGCATGTATGTATTCATATATGGATGTGTGATGTGTGGATAGATGTGCATGTACATATAGAGCTTACACACACACTCCAAGTGAATTAAAGTCCACAGGGAAACAGACCAATTCCCAAAAGGAGGTCTTAGCAAGATCTTTGTGAGCTCCAAGAAGCAGCTGCCTGCAGTTACTACACATTTCCTAAAAGAACCAAATAGACATTTCTCCTTGTTCTCTCTCTCTCTCCTCTCCCTCTCGCTCCCTCGTGTGTGTGTGTGTGTGTGTGTGTGTGTGTGTGTGTGTGTGTGTGTGTGTGTGTTTAGATTGCTAATGAAGACAGTTTAAAACTCAGCAGATTTTCTTCTCTTCTTGTTCTGTTGTCCTGCCCCTTTTGGAAACTTCTTGATTTCAAGCTCTTACCCTTTGTCTCCATACACTGTTGTAAGGGTCTCCTAGGCTCCGTGGGTGCCAGCAGCTTGTGGGGTCCCTTTACTGGAGCTGGGAGCTGGTCTTTACACTATACAGGAAGTACCCCATTTGCTGTGCTCCCCAAGAACACCTTGTTCTAAAAATCACCTTAACAGGTAAAATGCTGTTTCTTTTGCATCCAGGGGAAATATTTAAAGCTATAAACTATTGTCATAATTCTTTTTCCCTTACTCCCAATCTAGAAAATTAAGGCTTTATTTTTATTTTATTTATTGGTTGCAATAGAAAGTACTTGAGATACAATTGAAATCTGAGTGGTCAGCCACTGGGAAATGTTAGGTGTTCTGGATTTTTCTGTGGTGCTAATTTTTCTGTGTTACCTTTTGTTCATCGGAGAAGTCTTCAGGTTCCTGAAGCCTAGCCTAAAGAACAGCCTCCTCTGCACAAAGATTCAATTCTTCCTCTAGTAAATGACAGAAGTGTTAGTCTGTAGGACTGGATGGGACTCTGTTCTTAGAAGTGTGTAGAACTCAATTCGTGGAGGTACCTGGAACTCTCAGTCCACAGGAGTGCGTGGGACTCACAGTCCCTGACAGTGTGTGGCACTCTGTCTACAAGGGTGTGTGTGACTCACAGTTCATGGGGATGTGTGAGAGCCAGGTCTTTTCTTGATGGGTGTCTGATCTTATGCAAGGGACTTAACTTCTTTGGTCTCCTGTGGTCTTAGCTATAGAATGAGGATGAAGACTACCTAGCATGTCCTGAGGGTGAAAGCTAACATTTCGTGTACCTGGCCCACGCTCATTCTCCAATCCAGATAGTGCTGTTGATTCACGGAAGGGAGTTTCAGAAACCATAGCCACCAGCTCACATATGGTGGTGCCCTTAAGGAGTGTTTGGATATTGGCGCGATTGGCTTAGTTGAGACAAATTGTATGGGCTGTCCAGGCAGATGGGAAGAGCACGTTCTCTGCCTCCTTTTGTCCTGTCCACTTCCTCTAGAAACAAGTAAACTGATTCACTTCTTGGGGAGGAAGTGTGCATGGACAGAGCCAGCCCGTGGGTTTTTCCATGGCCTGCACAGACATTGGTGTTATTTCCAGTAAGCAGCAGGCATTCTGCTGTGCGCTTTGTGTTCTTTAACTTGGGATTTTGGAGGGAAGGAGCATGGGGAGACAATGTTTTGCAAGCGTGGATTCAGAAGAGCATTGTCGATGATCAGTCCGCGATCTACTGTTGATTGTCCTGTTTCCTGCTGCACTTGAGTGACTGTGGAGTGGAGTGTATGGACCACGCTGCTGGGACACTTCATTCCTCAGTCTGGATGTTCAACAAACTCATCACATTTCTCTTTCCTCATCTGGCCACACATTTTTACTATATTCGATGCTCTGAGAAGATGCTCATTCTCCAGAGAAGACATAAGGCAGACTCGAAGGCTATGGAGGAGGAGGGAACTAAAGACAATGTTTCCTACTAGGAACACATTTACATGATGTCTAAACACAAACATTTAGTTTTGATTTGAAATGAGGATCATGAATAACTTCCGGCCTGGTAGCATATGGTAGGAGATCCTGGGTGCATGTGGGCTACCATGGCTCAGGGGTTTAAGAAATTTTGTACCTCTGTGACCAGCCAGGTCTGTAAGATGGGGAGGCCATAAAGACTGGCTGTGTCTTGTGGAGTTGGAGGTGAAAGGTAATGTTTATAGGTTAAAAATTATGTTAAAAGACACGTGATTCCATACATACAAGCACAAGCTTACACCAAGGAAATTAGTACTCTGAAGCTAGAGAAGAAAATGGAAGAGATCATTTCTATTTGTGGATGAGTTCATTTACGGGAGGTGGAATGGCAGTCCTGTGTGGTATCAGGTAGGGAGCAGGGCTCTGTCACTAATTGTGTGTCTTTAGACTTTCACTATCAATGCCCGTATCTAATGTGAGATTGCAGCCCACATGAGAGGTTTCAGAATGTGAGTTCATGTCTCACTGGATTCTAATTTCACGTGGACTGAAACCAAATTACTCCAAGTGAGAACCGTGGATACGTTCTTCTGTGGTCTTCTAGTTCCAGGCTGAAAATCAAAAAGCAAAGGTTGTAATTCAACACAAATAAACAGCATGGAGCAAAATGTCAACTCACATTTATATTTTAGAATAAAAAAGGAATTATAAATGAGAATTCTATACTATGATATCTGGCCAAATTAACCAGGTTTTTAACACCAAGAAGGTCACGGGACGGCTTTGCTTTGATGAACCAGAAGTATATTCATAGTCACAGTGTGGCTTACAGTAAAACTGCACAGGGTGCACACATGCAAACTCTCCCTTTCTCTCCCTCCCTCTCTCTCTGTGTCTGTCCCTCTCTCTCTGTGTCCCTTTCTCTCTCTGTCTCTCTGTCCCTCGCTCTCTTTGTCTCTCCATCCTTCTGTCCCTCTGTCCCTCCCTCTCTTTCTATATCTCTGTCCCCCCTCTCTCTGCCCCCGTCTTTCCATCCCTCCGTCCATCCCTCCCTCCCTCTCTGTCTGTCCCTCCCTCTCTCTGTCTCTCTATCCCTCCCTCTCTCTCTATCTCTCTGTCCCCCCTCTGTCTGTCCCCCCGTCTCTCCATCCCTTCATCCATCCCTCCCTCCCTCTCTCTCTGTCCCCCCACCCCGTCTCTCTATCCCTCCGTCCATCCCTCCCTCCCTCTGTCTCTGTCTCTGTGTCTCTCTGTCTCCCCTCTCTGTCCCTCTCTCTCTCCATCTCTCTGTCCCTCTCCCTCTGTCCCTCTCCCTCTTTCTTTTCTCTCTCCTCTCTCTCTCTCCCCTGTGTAGTGTTAACATCATTACTTCCTTGTTCCTGGCTTCACTTCTCCATCCATCTAGTGCCGTCACAGTTGCACTTGGGCCTGTGACCATCTTCTCACTAGTGTTGAGATTCTGATTCTTTTCCTCCTGGCCCCCACCGCAGCTCCAGAAGGGAGTCCTCAGTCAGCTTCTGTGTCCTTGCACTGCGGTCTGTGGTTCTGGAGAACCTCTTCTTCTCCCCAGAACCTGGCCTGACAGGAAAGATTCCTCTAACAGCCCCGAGGGCTCAGAGGGCCAGTGGTGGTGGGTCAGACAGATCTAGAAATTCTAGCGAGTGCTTCTCCACGAGGGCCGTTCTGTGTCTGTCCTGGAGTTACACACTGCAGTCACTTTTAAAGGAGCAAGACCATATGTTTGTTAGCAACGACCAAAATTACAACTGGTGCATGCAAGTTCCCCCTCCAGATTTGGATGTTTTATCTTTTAGATCCAGTAACCAAGGGAATAGCAACAAAGAATCCAATTTGAGCCCCAGATGGGTGCACCCCAGGGTTCAGTTGCTCCTTGAGATGAAGACAATTACCTGATGTTTCGGGACATTGCTTGCCCTGGTCAGCTCATCTGGTACAACAAAGACCAGGAAAGAAAGCAGGTCTCTCCAGACTGAGATGCCAGCGTTTGTGCGGAAGAACCAGTGACGGGTGGATGGTGACGAGGGCTGGGTCCTGAAGGAGCAGTGAAGTTGTCACATGCTCCAGGGTGCTCCCTCTCTGAGCTGGACCCAGAAGCCCTCATGTTAGCCCCCCAGAGGACTGTGCTGGCCACGCCTCTCTGGTCGCACAGGTGTGTGCACACCTGTTAGCGTTTATGCTTTCACAAAGAGCCCAGAAAGCCAGCAAATGTGTTGGCAGCACTCTGAGCAACAATGGTAGCATGTTGTTGGGGTAGAAGACAGGTGATTGTCATCCCTAGGGTACCTTTTAGCTTCAGGGCAGCAAGGCTGTGAATGCCTGAGGTGGGAAATGTCTCTGTGTTTAGCTGACAAATCTTCCTGAATCTTTCCCAACTTCATTACTTTATTGTGCTCTGATTTTTATCCATTGTTACAGACATACTACACATGTAAAACCCCAGCCCCAATGTTTAAGACTTCATACCAAATCTGCTTTCTTTTCTCTTTGGTCACATCCAGGCTAGGCTTGCCTCTGCCTTACAAAGTCTGTCTTGGTCTTTGAGGGTTCCATGTAGACTCCTTTCCTTCTGTGTGGGTTTCATCCACACACATGCCCTTTGTTTCCTGCATCAGATGCTTATTATAACATCGAGAACAACATATAATCTAAAATATGGATAGATCTTAGCATAGACATATTTCACATGTATGTCTGATCCCTGTCACTCATTGCCTGTCTGTCATACATGTGCACATGTGCACCCACACACACACCCTAAGACCTTAGTGTTGTTTTGCTTTCTGGTGTTGGCACGATGTGGGAGGGGGAAGAGAAGTATTTCTGAGTTTTTCATCTGTTTATGGTTTGGGGTTCCAGGCAATGACACTTCCTGTGTATGGAAGCTGCTCCGGAAGCTGTCTGTGTGTTTCCCTGAGCTTTATGAGAGTGTGAAATGCATGTTGTACTATTCCATCATATTTCTGTGTCAAAGAAGAGTCCAACCAAGGACAGCAATAAGTCTGTTTTCAGGTACCCATTACATTCTTCATAGGGAAATGAATAGACAAAGAGTATTCCTGTTGTTCTGGCTGGAACAGTGGCTCTGCCCTGTCTGTCATGCCTCTAAGGGATGATGAGTTCCAGGGCACACACACCACCACTTCACCTTCTTTTAGAGGAGCTCATCTCTTAAAAAGGGTGTGAAGAGGAAAGAGAGAGAGAGAGAGAGAGAGAGAGAGAGAGAGAGAGAGAGAGAGAGAGAGAGAGAGAGACTAAGAAAGGAGGGAGCAGAGGAAAGCGGATCGTGCTATTGAAGAAAACCAGATATATGGATCCCGGGCTTTTCTGGGACAGTCTTGGCCAGACCTCCTGCCTCAGGAAGTGAGTGAGTGCACAGGACACTTTACTCTTTGAAACAGGGGGTGAAACACCGAACTCTGCCCCTTTCTCTTACTTGGGATTAAATGCATGGCACAGTACCCTCCCAGGACAACCTGTCTGGAGTTGCCTGCAGGAGTGTTTAGGGACTCTGATTCCAGTGGGGTTGGAATCTTTATTTCAAAACTTGGCCTGCTTACCAAGCAACAAGAATCGACGTCATTTCCTTTTCTCTGAGAACTGTTTGTTCATCCCAGTGTTGAAAGGAGACGGCAGGACTCTATATGGGCCACCTTCTTTGTCCTTATCCCTGTCTTCCCGGACCTGTGTCTGCTGTCAGTGCTAGCCGGGTTCGTGCAGGTTACCTGAGGAGCTGACACTGCAGTTCTCAGTGCTTGTGTGGGATGATGACACTTACTGGTTCCTCCATTGACCCCCACAGAGCGGTTATGGGCCATCTCAAACATGTGACTATCCATACCAGACAAGTGTCAAAATTAATTATCATAAACGCAACCTTGAACTACGGCAGATGTTGGTGTCTGGCTGATACTCCTAATGACTTTCTGAGATCGCATCCAGTCACCCTTAGCTGTTTTCGTTGGTAAACTTTGCTGTTACAGGGATACTTTATCATTGCTGCTCCCTGGCATTTTCACTTGGACGTCTAATTTCAGGTTGGAAATATCCTGCAGATGATGCAAATGTGGTGTGTTCATGTTTCTTCATGTAGAGGGGCTTCCTTAGCCCCTGGGGTGGGCTTGTCCAGACTTGTGCCCCCAGTTGAGGCTCAGATGATTTCCATTTGCTGCGCAGCAGCAGTCACTGTCGCTGGAAAAAGCCTCAGGAGACTTGGAGCATCCTAGCCTCCAGCCCTCTCATGATTTAACGATGGTCATTGGTAAAATGCTAAATTGGATCCCCAAGTTGCACTACACCATTAGGTAGGGGACTCACACTGTAGGTGAGGCTGTGTGGTCAGCTGAGGCTGTTCACAACTGTGGATTGTGAGTCCAGCCCTCCTCATGTGGACAGCTTCCTTCCTGGACACCTCACACCCCTAGCCCTTCTGAGTAATAGCATGCGGTCTCTCGTACATGGGATTGAGATGCCTGTACTAATAACAAGCTGTCGTTCCCCCCCCCCCCCCCCGCCACTCTGTACTGTTCTCTCAGCTTTCTGAGCCCTTCCAGATAATATCTCACTTGCCCTCATCATCTCCCTACCAGATGACTATAAATATATGTCCTGGCTGCATGTAGCTCCGAGTTTTGAGATCCCCTGAGGGTGAGGAAAGCGAGCAATAGCTGCGACCTGAACATACATGCTCAGGTTCTTTCTTGAGCGGATACACCGATAGGTACTGTGCCAATCAGCGCTTCACTCTTAAAAGGTTTATCTTTTGGGTAGAGTTGCCAAAGACAGAGCTTTCTATTCATAGACATAATCCAGGTGGAGCTGGGAGTTCTCTTTCTGTGCTCTTGGCGTCTCTCCCACCCCCCTCTCCTCCCAGAGACATCCAGGTGCAATCACTGGGCAGTACCAACCTACCCGGGTCTCTACCCTTCGGGAAGTGCTTCGAATGTTTCCTGGATCTGCCACAGGAGGGAGCCCAAAGGTGCAAGCTCTGTCTTCCAGAGGGGCTGAAGGTGGGGCTGGAATTCCCGCCACAGCGGGTTCCAGCTTCCAACTACCCCCAGGCTCTGCCACTTAGCCTGCTCCAACTTTCCAGCCTCAGACATTTAACTCGAGTCACAAAATCCCAACTGAGGGAATTAAAAAGCAGGGACACTGTATTTGATGCTTCTGATAACTTTATTTAGAAGTCTGGGACACTCATGTTAAACTCAGTGTTACTCCCCAAATATCAGATAGGAGTAGAAGGTTTGGCTTTAAAACAAGCCAGGCTGGGGGAGAGAACAGGAGGCTGGGCATCTTCTGGGTTACTATTTAGTTTCTGTTGCAGACTTAATTACCCTGTCAGTTTTAAAGCAAATTTATTTTATTTGCTAAATTAATATGATGTCTGTGTTCTTCACAATAAAGCTCCAAAACGTGACATTTTAATGATTTTAACCTATCATAAAAGAACAACAGCCACAGCAAATTACCATTCTGTGTTCAGCGTTGCAACACTTTGTTCCTTTTTAGTTCAGCAAGTTCAAATGTGCTTTATGGAAGCCCTTTGGGAAGATGAACGACCAGCTTTATTTCCTTTGAGACACATCCTTATCAGACATATATGTGTATGTGCGCGCGCACGCACGTGTGTGTGTGTGTGTGTGTGTGTGTGTGTGTGTGTATGTATGTGTATGTGTGCGCTCCCACATGCTTATTGAAACCATTCTTTCTTGTTAGATATATTCTACACAGAGACTCTGATGAGACACACTCCCATGCATATTCTTACAGAGACTTCATTGGCATCTGGCTCAAAACCATTCACATTTCTTTATTCCAAAGGCAGGAGGGAAATTGAACATCTCTAATGCTCCCACTAAAATTCATGTCACCATTCTGCCACTTCTATTGCTTTTTTCCTCTTCTCTTTCTATTTTCTTTGAAATGTGCTAAACACACCTGCCTGTTGTCCAGCTGCTTTGAATGCAGAAGCCTCTCCAGGAGAAGGGAGTCTTCCCTTCCTCCTTCATCTGCCCTTCCCTCCTTCCTTCCACCCCTCCGTGTTTCCATCTGTCCCTGTCTCTGTCTCTTTGTCTCTCATGCTTTCCCCAGTGTGCACACTCTTCTCCCCTGTCTGCCCCACCCCCACCCCATGACTAGATCCCTTGCTGCCCTGTAGCTGGCCTCTGCCGGGCTCCAGCTGCTGGTGAGTGTAGAAAACACCAGTGAGGTTGTCCCAAGCTCTCATGGAGATAGAGGCAGGAGCTGCAAAATGTCTGAAGCAGAGAATGTAAGAAAGGAAAGAGAGAGTCCAGAGAGAGAGAGAGAGTCCAGAGCTGGTCTCTTCTGCTTTGAATCTGACAATGTCCTGAAGGCTCCAGGTTAAGGTCAGAGCTGACCTGCTTTGGAGAGGTGTCTGGACCCTGAGGTCCCTAACCTGAACGGGCTGTTAGGAGAGTATTAGGGCTGGCTGGAGGGAGGAGGCCACTTGGAACATGCCTTTCAAGGGTAGATTGTGTCCCTGGAGCCTTTTTATCTCTTTCTCTGCTTGCTGGCTGCTATGTTCTGCCTACCACACCCAAGGAACCACACAGAGTGACGCCTCAGAAACTCTGAACTGAAATAAACCTTTCCTTGGAAAAGTTATTTTCTCAGGTATTCTGTCACGACAAGACACGTGACTAATACATGACTCAGAGCCAAACCTAATGAGTCCTCTATTTTTACTTTTTAATCACTTAAAAAAAATAACCTTTCCCTCTGTAAATGCGTTCTGAGTTTCCATTTAATGCCGAACCCAAAATAGTAACTTTTAAACTTAAACAAACAAACAAAAAACACCCTCACAATTCTGTAATTTTTTTTTTTTAAGCTGAGGGATCTAGAGCTCTCAGGACATGGTGCTGGGGCAACAGCTTGACCTGAACTGTGACAGCGGGTGCAGCTGAATTTTACGCCACAAGCATTTTATGCCACAAGCAGGTCGTTCTTTGTAAGGAGTGATGCACAGTGTGGTAGGAGAGGCAGAAGCTGTTTGGATGTTCTCTGCTCCGAGAGGCACTTTGTAGGTGGACAGCCCCTCCCCCACCCCTCCCGCCGTGGGTCTTTGTAGGTGGCCAGGTCCCCTGAAGGATGCTGGG